AAAAATGCTTCATGCATATATTTTAGCATTAAACATCGTGTCCGAGCGTAAAGTTCGAATCGACGAAAGCCGAGATGTCACTTGAATTACATTACATGATCGCACAATAAAGATGGAAATAGTAAGTTGTAACGTACTTTTATGAGTACTGTTGTTGATTTTATTCTTCCGTTTATTCCGTGTAATATTATCTCGAAAACATCGTTACTTTGCTCTTTGACAACTCTGATGTGGACCCGTTGCCGAAGCCTGTGTCCGAGAATCTTTTTTTTTTTTTCAATAACATTGCGAAAAATAGTTTATAATTCTAATTCTGTCGATAATATATGGTCATTTGAAATGTAATATGTGTTTTCGGGCATTATGAAAAGTGACAGATTTGATAAATGAATCATATGTTAGTTAGGTTCCTAAAATTATATATCATTTTGATGCGACTACTGCCTGGCCGGTTTTCCGGCCTACGGTGTCTGGGGACTGGTGACGTCTTGGCCGGTTTTCCGGCCTACGTTGTTGAATGGGTTAATATTATGATATTTATTTTCCAGAGGTCCGACACTAAGTCAGCAACATAGGAGACTGTAAAAATGATCTTCCTGTCTGTTGCAGAGTTTCTTGACCCTTTATGTCTTTTTTTTTTTTAAACCCATTTCATTTCATTCCCTGCCAAAGGATGGTGTGTAATATGTCCGTGTCATTTCCATACAGACATATCTTCCCTGTAGGCATTAGGAGTGTATTAAGTGTGTGGATCTCATTGCAGAGTCTGCACTTTCTCAACATTCTCAAGTAACAGTCAACAACAGTGCAGTCGAATGTTGAACAACTTTACAACAAGCACATCATTTGAATGAGAATTAAGTTAGCAATTTAGTGTTGATTTGGGAAAAAGAAAATAATTCATGAATCAATAATTAATTCTTCATTCAAGAGATAAAAATAGCTTCATGGCTCATCAAATTTGATGGTGATTTTGGGGTCACAATTGTGTGCCTGAAGGAGTATAGTTCAAATATTTCAACTAACCAATATTTCTAGTTGGTTGCTTTGCCAATTTCATTGACCTGCTCCTCAAACAGGATAAAAGTATTATGTTTTACAAAAGAGTTGAATTGATGGGCATAGAATCGAATATAAAAATGTCTTTTGTGCTTTGAGTTCTGAGTCATCAAATCAGGAGAATGGATTTTGTTGCTGGCAGTGTATATGGGAGTATAATAGTGCTGTCTTAACCATAAGTGTTCTTTCAAGGTGCAATATGATATTAGTTTTTTATATTCTTGAAAGTGACTTCATGAATTTATCATAAATATTATGTATAGTGTTGTTGCCTATGACATTATGTAATGGGTCAAGCATCTAAATATGAACCCTCCGTGGGAATTCCTGCTCATATGCGGATAGCCCAGACAGTGGGTGAGTGAATTTAGTTTTACACCACACTCAGCAATAGCCCAGACAGATTGACTTGATCTTTTACTGAGTCCATTTTTTTATGACATATGTCTTCATGTATAACCTAATATAACAAATCTTTTACTGGTAATACTTTAGATTATAAATTTAATTTTATGTTATCTAATACTTTCTTATCAAAATTAGGTTTAATGTGTATGAAGATCTTTTATCATCACAAATGTTTTAGGTAAATATGTGTGTATACCTTGTAATTTGATACATGACACGTAAATAAATAAACAATTCATTGTTTTCAGACTGACATCGATAGCTATGATACTCTAGGTGCACACAAGCAGTAGCTGTATTATAAACAAAACCCTATTCTGTAAACCAGGGCTATCAGTGACAGCCCTTCCCAGGTTACGAGGTCTGGGGTTGTGTATTGTACTAAATGATAAATTGCTTCTGAAACAAAATGTATGTATTCCAAATCGAAAAGACTTTGTTTTGTTTTTACATCTACATCTGACAATATTATGATAGAAAATTGACTACAAGATAGGATAATCATTTTTACTCTGTATTTGGCCTGCAATGTCAGGCAATGAATCTGAGTCCATCAGGTGTTAGTCACATCCCCCAGGGCAGCTGTTGGACAGAGGGAATCCATCTCCTGAGCCAGACATGATTGCTGGAATTCCTGTGTGCATTTGGACCAGGTTTGACCTGTGACACTGACCTTTGAGGTCAGAGAAAAGTGACAAATTGTGTGGCGTGGAGATTGAAGGGATAATTGTGTCTGTCCCTGAAGTCTGGAGCATAGTTTGCTGTCACAACTGTATTGGCTTGTGTGGGTTGGGAAAGGAATATGAAAACTGCGGTGCTTGTGGGTTGGGAAAGGAATATGAAAACTGTGGTGCTTGTGGGTTGGGAAAGGAATGGGAATATGAACACCTTTGAGACTAGCAGGATGGGAATGTTTTTATTCTATAGTAACTAGGGGGCAATATGAACATTGTAGCAATAGGCAGTAATAATAACAGGAACTCTTGCAGCAGATGAGGCAGTACTGAAACTGTAGCAATAGACAATGAGGGAAAACTCCAAGAACTGTACCAATAGACTATGAGGGAAAACCCAGGAACTGTATCAATAGACAATGAGGGAAAAACCCTAGGAACTGTAGCAGTAGACAATGACGAGAAAACCCTAGGAACTGTAGCAGTAGACACTGAGGACAAACATCCAGGAACTGTAGCAGTAGACACTGAGGACAAACACCCAGGAACTGTAGCAATAGACACTGAGGACAAACATCCAGGAACTGTAGCAGTAGACACTGAGGACAAACATCCAGGAACTGTAGCAGTAGACACTGAGGACAAACACCCAGCAACTGTAGCAGTAGACACTGAGGACAAACATCCAGGAACTGTAGCAGTAGACACTGAGGACAAACATCCAGGAACTGTAGCAGTAGACACTGAGGACAAACATCCAGACAAACATCCAGGAACTGTAGCAGTAGACACTGAGGACAAACACCCAGCAACTGTAGCAAAAGACACTGAGGACAAACATCCAGCAACTGTAGCAGTAGACACTGAGGACAAACATCCAGGAACTGTAGCAGTAGACACTGAGGACAAACACCCAGGAACTGTAGCAAAAGACACTGAGGACAAACATCCAGGAACTGTAGCAGTAGACACTGAGGACAAACATCCAGGAACTGTAGCAGTAGACACTGAGGACAAACACCCAGCAACTGTAGCAAAATACACTGAGGACAAACATCCAGGAACTGTAGCAAAAGACACTGAGGACAAACATCCAGGAACTGTAGCAGTAGACACTGAGGACAAACAATCCAGGAACTGTAGCAGTAGACACTGAGGACAAACATCCAGGAACTGTAGCAGTAGACACTGAGGACAAACATCCAGAAACTGTAGCAGTAGACACTGAGGACAAACACCCAGGAACTGTAGCAGTAGACACTGAGGACAAACATCCAGGAACTGTAGCAGTAGACACTGAGGACAAACATCCAGGAACTGTAGCAGTAGACACTGAGGACAAACAATCCAGGAACTGTAGCAGTAGACACTGAGGACAAACATCCAGGAACTGTAGCAGTAGACACTGAGGACAAACATCCAGGAACTGTAGCAGTAGACACTGAGGACAAACATCCAGGAACTGTAGCAGTAGACACTGAGAACAAACATCCAGGAACTGTAGCAGTAGACACTGAGGACAAACACCCAGCAACTGTAGCAGTAGACACTGAGGCAAACAAAACAGAAACTGTGGAAGTAGCAAAATTAATATCTCACAAGATATGAATTTCAAAACGGTAGTGACAGATAATTCCTTAAAAAGCGGGTGCAAAATGTGTTTAATTTAGGATTGTTCTTTGTAGTAAAAAATGAAGAACACTGACGAATGTGTATAAATCTGATGGCACTGGTAGAAATCTGAGTGCAGGCTGCATTAACATAGTGCTCCCATAAGAGCTGCAGTAATATTCATGTCAGTTTTGTAAGAAGTATGCATATTATGTGCCATGGCTTAGTCATTCGATTTACCAGCCGATGGTAACAATGGCCAAATTTTTCTGTGTGTAGTTGTACTGGATGTCCTCAGTGAACTCCACCAATTGCATGCAAGGGCCAAGTCTTTCTTCATTACACATGACAAATCTTTTGTGAGTTCCATTTACAGTCTAAGGAGGGTCCATATGTTGAACTAGTTGTGAAGCTAGTTGTGTGACTGTGATTGGGAACTCTAACTTGTAACTACTGCATTGTGCTTCCCAGAATAGTGTCATCAGCATCCCGTATGTGGTGTTGTTTACTGTACTCATAGTGTTGGGAATTGGTTAAAATCTCATAATTGATGATTGGTTTATTACAACCGATCAATCATCGAAAAAAATTGGTTAGCGTCATTAATGAAATTTGTTAATGCACATAAAAATAAGGAATAAACATGTAGTTCTTTTGGGGTGTTTTAGCAAAATTTCACATCTTTAAAGGATGAATAGTATGTCAGGAACATAAATTTCTTGGAGTCCTTAAGATAAATTCAATCATGACTTGAAACAAGCTTGTAGTGCTTATGAAATGTAACAGACAAAACCAACCTTGTGAAAATTGCTTGGTCGTTTAGTCACTGCGACCAATCTTTGATTATTTCAATTAATCGGACCACCACTAGTACTCATCGTGGAAAAATGCTGTTATGTTCCAGTGAAATGCTTCAGTCTTTAAACTCTTGTATCTAACTAAGATGTCTTACTGTTGATATGACCACAGGTGGCTCAGTAGATATAGATGATAGAACTTGCTGGGCAGAGTTGAACCTAGAAATGATCCATTGGTTATGGATTTTAAACTTGTTTGTTTCATCCATACTCAGTTATTTACAAGTAAACCATAAAATATTGCTGGAATATTTCTGACTGGGCATAAAGAGACAATCACTGACCCATTTACTTTACTTCAAAATGGTCATCTTTTGCATGTATGCCATGTAAACAAAAACAATCTATGTATAAATTTTGTTTCATGTGTGTTTTTCTTTCCTTTCCTCAGGTGAGTGCAGTACATTCAGCTCAGTTCCCAGAGGTAAATGTTTAATTACCGACAATATCTTTCTTGTCTGAAGACTGGGGGGATCTGACCCGTGAAGGTCCGGGTTAGAATGAATCTTCAGTAACCCATGCTTGTCGTAAGAGGCGACTAACGGGATTGGGTGGTCAGGCACGCTGGCTTGGTTGACTCATGTCTTCGGTTCCCAATTGTGCAGATCGATGCTCATGCTGTTGATCACTGGACTGTCTGGTCCAGACTCGATTATTTACAGACTGCCGCCATATAGCTGGAATATTGCTGAGTCCGGCGTAGCTGGTGGGCGAACTGTCTAAGGTGCCTATCTAGTAAGCGAAAAGTGCCTGGATCGATCCCCACTTGTGACTGGGTGTAGAAACCTTGGAGCTTACATTACTTGCAGGCTCTTTCAGTGTTGTCACAACCCCTAGTGTGCAGTACACAACCCTGTGCACTTAAAAGAACCCACGAATCCAACGGTAGGTGACCAGATGGTGGACGCACGAACACGTGCAGACACCAGTAGTTGCAGCTATAGTAACGTGCAGTATCATTGGACGAAATACTGTGACTATGTGTCCCAGTTCACCCAGCTGAAAATGGGTACCTTGTGAGGATGAGGCTGTGTGATAACTCGCTGCGCCTAACAGACTGCATGAGTTTAATTCTCCCCAGGGAGCTGAGTTGGTTAAAAGAATGCCAGAAAAAAGACATCTGTTGATCAAGGGAACACTCAAGCGCTTTGAGCATGTACTAGTTGCGTGGATATGTGCACTATATAAATATCCTATCCTATCAAAACTAAACTCACTCACTGTGGGGATCCATTCTGATCCCTTTGAAATGGGATGTCAACAATATGAAGTAAACGTTGTTGAAATTGTTCACATGGCTGCCAATTTCTCTCTAATACATCAACACAAATTTTTTTTTTTTAGTGCCCAATATGCTACATATTGGTTTTCATATCTGAACTAAAGAAACATCTTTCCAATCACTCAAATTAATAAGTGATCACAGACTAAGAAATGACCATCATCTATTTAGTTTTATGTTATACTTCACCTAATTGTTATGAAACTTTTATCTTTGTTACAACATTGCCATAAATCCTGTATTCGTGACTGCGTTTGACCAGAAATATTTTCTTGTTTCACAGCTGTACATAATTAGTTGTACCTGCAGTAGTACCTTCATATTTAAATTCATCTGATGTTGATGCACATAAATAAATTCTTGTGTCTGCCAGATCAGACTAAACAGTTGATCTGCAGATCCATTGCTTTGTACTGAGAGCAGAAAATTTCTGTCAGAGCTGTGTTTGAGTGGCGTATCTTTGTTGTTGAGAGAGTTCAGATTTTAGGCCTGTCTATTTTGTTATATAACCCTATATATGTGCTATTTCTGGAGCTATAAGTTTTCATGCTTTATAAAATTGCTTGAGCAAATTATTCTGTCGCCTTTTTTCAGTTTTTTAAGTCTAAATTGTCACAGAAAGGCTTTGCTGCTATGGCATCTTCCTTCTCTGTACCAAAGATTTGTGGTGATAATGGTGGTGAATTTCCTGAACAGTTTGATGAACTGTCCCTGCTATGGTGTGGGACTGGTGACTTGGCATTAAGTCAGTATTTGCTTTGTTCTCAAAACATGAGAGCATGGAAGATTAATACTTGAATGTTTTGATTAAAAACTGGAAATAGCCAGAAGTAAGCCTGGTTGCAATGGAGTGTTTGCTCCGAGTTTTTGTTTTGTTTTCTTAGAGAAATGACATGGTCCAAGAGCATTCTAAATACAGCTTTAAAAAATTCTGTGTTGATCAGATATTTTCTGAAATCAAAACTTTGATGTGATCCTTGGAAAAATTTGATATTTAATGAATTTATTGATTGGTGTTCAAGGGGGAAAAACATGAACTTTAACAAATAGTATGGGCAAACATTATTTAGCTTGCCAGACCATGCTCCTAAGTCAAGAAAGGTGTTTTTGTTGAAGCTCATGCATGCTGTAATCGAAGAGTCCAAGAGTGGGGATTGATGACTGACAATTGCCAATATCATCGCTGGACAGTCTGACCCCAACCAACATGGGCACCGCTAGGCGTCAGTTTCCAGCATTTAATCAATTGCTGATCCACTCTGATCAATGACAGTAATATCTATGTAAATGACAAATTTCCCTTAGGGTAAAATGAGCGTAACTGCTGCTAATTGTAATATATATCACCTACCTCCGATGTGATTGCAGTACCAAAGGTTTCATTAACTGTATGGTTTTAGCCAAGATTTGTATTTTCGAGGGTTTATGATTGTGTGTGACTTGAATTTGGTGTGAATGGTTGATGTTCACAGATGCTTGTTTTCTAAGCATTGGTGAATGGCCCATCGGCTTGATGATCAATTTGTCTTGAGTTTTTGTTCTTGCGAGGCTTCTGAGAATGCCTGCTTGGCCCACCTGTCATTCTAAAATCCACATTTTCATCTTAAGCTGTTTGGGGAAATTAGATGGTCGATACTGTGCTTAGTTAGATTTCACTTATATGAGGCAGTCTGACAGTGCAGCTTGCTTAATATTGACAAGAAATTAGTTTAGAGGTTGTGGCTGAATATTCATGAAAGAAAAATTGATCTGTGAATGCTTTTTAGTTTGTAATTATGCAAAACTGGCCTTTTGGGATGTGCTAACTGTAGAAAATCAACAAAATATCAGGTTTATTTGTGGGGAAGTTTGGCTGTTTTTAATAAAGAATAAAGAAACTAAATATTGAACATTTCGAAGTGGAACGGGATGGAAATATTGATGATGAAATGAGTTGTTTATCGTAGAGGACTGTCTGACAAAATGGATCAATGATTGCACCATCAGCCCCTGGTGGGACGGAACCATGACGGTTCAAATGGCGGAGATAATTGTGAAACCAGTTCACTCACTCACAGATTGATCTGCGGTAGCCTAGAGGTTAAAGTGTTCACTTCTCACATTTGAGACTCGTGGATGTAATGTGTGAAGATCATTTTGGTGTTACCACAGACCTAACCCCAACACACACACAGAGTGTTGTTAGAGTGAGTGAGTGAGTGAGTTAAAATCTAAAGTCACATCGGCAATATTTCAGCCGTATCATGACTAGAGTGTTGTTAGAAAACAGCCAATATTATTGTGATTTTTAATGAGATCTAAACCAACAGGATATTTTCTTCTGTATCTTCACCTAATATATAAAACAATGTTAGGACAATCTGAATGGCAAATCAGGAAACTAATCAGCTAAATTAATATATGTACATTGACAAAGACTACTGACATTTCATACATGATTCTGTCCATGTATTTCTGTGGAGATTAACATGAATTGTTGACAAACATTACTAAGACATCTTGAAGGAATTGTTGACAAACATTACTAAGACATCTTGAAGGAATTGTTGACAAACATTACTAAGACATCTTGAAGGAATTGTTGACAAACATTACTAAGACATCTTGAAGGAATTGTTGACAAACATTACTAAGACATCTTGAAAAACATTACTAAGACATCTTGAAGGAATTGTTGACAAACAGTACTAAGACATCTTGAAGGAATTGTTGACAAACATTACTAAGACATCTTGAAGGAATTGTTGACAAAAGTTACCAAGAAATCTTCTAGTAATTATTCACAAAAGTATTTGGTTGTATTTCTGCTATTCTGTGTTGCATTCAAAAGAATTTCATATTTGAATCCAGATTTCATGAATATTCTGTTTCTCCAAGAAGAGGGTCCCTGACGATCAAGGCAGCGATCAGAGATGCAAAAAATATTGAATGATAAAAAGAGTAAAATGAACATTTACATTCTGTGCCTCATCAGCTGGGGATTACTGGTACACAGGTGGAATAAATGATGAAATCCAGGAATATCATAAAAATGCAAGCATATGGTGATCAAAGGCTGTCATTATCAATTACATCAGAGGACTTCTCTCAAGTAAAACTGGGCTCGAAGGAGAAAAGAAATTGCCATGATCATTATTTTTTTTCTGAAAGCATGTAGCCTTGTCAGACAATCATAAGAATAATTGATAATAAAGTGAATACGATCCTACTGTATTATGGCAGCAGAATATCAGTGAACAAATTGCTGAAAGCAAGTGGATGTGGTCTGCAGGGAATTAGCTTCCCTCTAACTTACAGTAAGGACTGTGTAGATGGGAGGAGGCCTATCATTGTAGTGCAATACATCAATGGATTTTACTTGTAAAACATTGCTGCGGGTATTTGAAGGAGTGGGATTTAATGAAATTACAAACTTGTGCTTTGCTTGTTTGCACATACATCATTGTAGTACTTTTGTAGATGTTGGCAGTGCTTGAGTGTTATTGCAAGTTTGATGCTTTTGATATTTTTCCTGTTATTTGAACTTGAAAAGGTTTTGCCTCAATGATTGAAATGTGTGTTAGCTTAGAAATATGTTTGCCAACATACAGCAATGCAGGGCATTGATCTGATTTGCCAAATAAAACAAACAGGGTCATGGAAGTTCAATGTGAGAGACTTGTCATAGAAAGTTGCTTTTATCAAAGAATTTGATACGCTGAAAGAAATGTTTTAACTAAAAGTTCTAAATCTATATGTCTTAACATGACAGTCTTTATAGAAAATTTGTAAGGAAGCACAGTTTAATTCCATTCAATGTTCATGGTTCATCTCAAATTGTTGTTTCTTCTGAGTTTCTCTCTCAATATATCTAAGCTTTGAGTGATTGCAACATTGCAGTCTGCAGTATTATAGAGCTGCTCCACAGTGACTATCAAATTTGCCCAGACAAACGGTGATTGACACAAAATCTGCCAGGTCACACACTGCTGCCACCTGATCACCAGTTTAATCGGCCAACCGAGCACAGAATAATCGGGGCTTATTCAGAATGCCTGAAATATTGATGTAACAATAAACAAATCTGCCAATATGACTAGTGTCCATGTTTATCGTTGATCGACAAATACAATCAATATACAATGCCAGACTCTGCTGTCTGT